TGGGCCCTGCCAAGGCCTTACTTGCGGTACTTGCCGCTGCCCTATCCATCTTCGGGCACCCCGGACCTTTGGTTGCGGCAAGGTCAACAACAGGTGGCAGATGGTCATGCGAGCAAGCGACACCTGGACATGGCCTACACGATGGACCGCTTCGTGTACAAGAACCTGGTGGAGTGCATGCATTGGCGAGACCGACTTGGCATGATGACGGCCTTCTGCGAAGACCCTGTGTTGACGGGAATGATTCATGCAAAAGCCGCCAAGGGGTTGAGGAAGAAGGTGAGAGACGCCGCTTTGGAAGAAGCCAAGAAGGAGGCCCTCCAGGCCGAACAGGCCGGGAACAAGGAGGAACTGGCTCGCTCGCTCATCGGACCTCGCGGTGGACTTCCACCACTTCGAGGAGACCTGATCAGGTTGGCAGTTCTGTTGAACGTCAAGGTGGACCCCGAGGACAACGTCGAAATGCTCAAGAACAAGGTCCGACCCATCGTTCAGGTCTTGAAAGAGAAGCCTACACCTGCTCCCAGCAAGGCGAAATCAAAAGCGAAGCCAACAGCCACCAAAGCTCAAGGATGGACCGTGGGCTACAGTGCAGGTCTGGTGACAGAGCCGTCTCCCGGGATGGTGTCCTATCAACACCTCATCGACATGCGCAACCGGTTTCAGACAACCCTGGACCACATGGCCTTGGAGATCCAAGAGCTTCGACAACAACGTCAACAGGGCACGCAGGTGGACCTCTCCAGTTTGGCGAAGACGGTGTCAAGCAGCTCCGGCTCCGGAGGAGAGATGGAAGTGACGCCGGAACTTCTTCAAGATGCCGCCTGGTCCCTGGAGGGAGCATTCGAGCAGCAGTTGGCTGCTCACTACGGGGAGGAGAACGTGATGTTCCTGACACCGGAGGAGAGGGCTCAGGTCCTCGATCCGTGAACCCGTATGTCATCCACCAGTGCCTGAAACCGGGTGTTGCGAGTCTGATTGGCCAAGCTTGGGATCAACATGAGGCTGACCGCCGAAAGATTTCCCAGGAACCCAAGCGGATTCGCCATGTCCTTGAGGCGGAGTTCTTCAAGGAGATGGAGGCCCACATGAATGATGAGACCTTCTTCCAAGTGATTGATTTGATGCCCACGTTCCATGAGTCCCTTGTGAATGAGAAGACGAATGGCTCTGATCCCCGTCCTTTTCTGGCTGAGGTCTACACGACAGCACAACATGTGTCCAAAGTCGCCCGCGACCGTGGTCATGCCGTTGGACCTGCTTTGAGCCTGGAGACGGGGTGGAACTTTCTTTTGGCTAGCCATCGAGAGCGAGCCAAGAAACAGCTGGCACAAGACAAACCTTTTTGCCTGGTCTTAGCCTTCCCATGTGGCCCTTTTAGCCCTTTGCAACATCTCAATACCAAAGGAAAGCTATCCTGGCCTCGACGTCTGGAGGAAGGGCGAGTCTTGATGCGATTTGCTTTGGAGTTGGCTGACATGCAGCTCAAGGCGGGTCGGCACTGCATCATTGAGAACCCCAAGCCCTCTGCAGCATGGCGGGAGCCGGAGATGAGAAAGTTTTTGGAGGAGAAGAATGTTCATATGGCTGTGTTTGATCAGTGCCGTTTTGGCCTCAAAAGTGTGGAAGGCATCCCTCAACGGAAGTCAACTTTGGTGGCAAGTTCCAGTTCGAAGGTGATTGACATGTTGAATGGAATGGTTTGCAAGCGTGACCATGCCCACTCTCCTGTCATCGGTGGCTCCCGGGTAACAGCTCGTGCGGGCATCTACCCTATGGGCCTTGCAAAGGCCATGGTGCGGGGAGTTGAAGCTCAGTTCGAACAGGACTTTGGCCATGAAGCGCTGGCTGCTGAGGATGTGGAGGAAGAAGTCGATCGTCCTGATGGTGCGCTCGGCTATGGAGAAGATTCTGACGATGATGAGATGAAGATTTCTCCAGAAGAGGCCAAGATGAACATTCCGGCAAGCGTGAAGCTGGCCATCAAGAGGTTGCATGAGAACACAGGGCATCGCAGTGGGCGAAGACTTGCTCGCGCTCTGGCTATAGCAGGGGCACCTCCGGAAGCAGTTGTTGCAGCCAAACGACATCGATGTGCCGTTTGTGAGGAGAAGGCTCCACCCAAAGCTCGGCGACCTGCCAGTCTCCCTCGTCCAAAAGACATTGGTGACCAAGTGCATGTGGATTTGCTGGAGGTCGAGGATTGCCAGGAGCAGAAATACTATGTCTGTCACTGCACGGACGCGGCAACTCGCTTTCAAGTGGCAGAAGTGCTGCCGAACAAATCTACGGCAGCAGTGATTGAGTTCCTGAGCAAAAGATGGGTGGCTATGTTTGGGCCGCCCCGTGTTTTGGTGTGTGATCAAGGAAGAGAGTTCATCTCTTGGGAGATGGAAGAGTGGGCAAGCTCAATGAGCATTATGCTGCACCACATTGCCGTTCAGGCGCCGTGGCAAAACGGCGTAGCCGAAAGATCAGGAGGCATCCTGAAGACCATCCTGAGTGCAATCGTGGCCGCCAAGAGCATCGTGAACCGCTCTGAGATGGAGATGGCTCTGAGCGAGGCAATCGCCGCCTACAATGGAGATGTGGATGGTGAATCCGGCTGTTCTCCTTTTCAAGCTGCCTTTGGACGTCAACCCCGGATGATTGGTGATGTGCTGGGAGGCATCCAGCAGCGACTTGGTGAACATGGGCTCGTTGAGTCCAAGCCTTCACTTGCTCGTCAGATAGCTATGCGAGAGGTTGCAAAGCTGGCAATGACAAGACTGCACTTCTCTCGTGGGCTTCGCAAAGCGGAACTGGCAAGATCTCGGTCGACTACCATGGAGGCTGCACCAACTCCAGGTTCCATATGCTACTTTTACCGCCCTCTCCGGTACAACAACAAGATGTCTCAGAGCCGGAAGAAGCTCACCTTAAAGAGATGGCATGGACCTGCGATGATGGTGGCGATGGATGGGCACGCCTCCGTGTTCCTCTCCTACAAGGGACAACTCACAAAGTGTGCTCTTGAGCATGTCCGCCTGGCTTCCACTATGGAGCAAATAGCTTCCGGTGCTTGGTCGGAAGCGATCAAGGAGGCGGTGGATGCGGCTCGACATGAGCAAGCCCTGAGGAATCCTCAGAGTGATGGCAATCAAGGGTGGCAAGCACCTCAGCAGCCGGTCCTACCAGAGACCCCTGTGGCAGCTGGAAATCCTTCGACACCCGCATTTCTCCCTCCGTCCAATGCGACAATGAATGCCGATGAGAACCAGTTGGAAGGCAGAGATCTACCTCCCGTACAACCTCAAGAGCTTTGGCAGATGATGGTTCCCTCCAATGCTCTCGCTTCTTCTCAGGTAGACTCCTCATTGCCGTCGCGACGGGCTAGCGATTTTTCAGATACGCCCTTTCCTCAGGCCACCAGACTGGCTATGGGAAGACGACCTTCAGGACTGCCTTTGGCCTCAGTTCGTGAGAGGGTCCGAGAAATTGAAGGAAGCCTCAAACGTCCAGCTGAGCTGGATGCGGAAGCTCTTCGTGAACAAGGCCATGAACAAGGAACTCCTCGAGCAGAGGCTAGCAGTTCAACGCCTGCAGAAGTGACGGAAGAGACCCTGGTGACTGAAGCCGTTGATGTCATCAAGGCGGAGCTGAAGAAGGAAAATCTCCACCCATTGAGACGAGCTTTCCTGCAGGCTGAACTGGACAAGCAGTCTCCACTAAATGCTGAAGTACCAGATCATGGCACCTGGCATGGAAAATGGTCCCTGCCGTCAAGATCGGAGTGGTTGGCCCATCAGAAACTGGGTCTGAGCTGGCCCAATGGAAGTCAGCCCGATCATGAAGTCCAAGCAGTGCAAGCAAATCGCAAGGAGTTTCGATGGAGGACTATGTCCAGTGAGGAGAAGAAGGCATTTGCTGAAGCTGCAGAGCAAGCATGGTCAGTATGGGAGGAAAATGCTGCAATCGAAGTTTTGACGCAAGAAGAATCAGAGCGTGTGAGAAGGCGGCTCTTGGCGAACAAAGAAGGCAGCAAGATCTTGACTCCCAGGTATGTCTTCACCGACCGGCATGAAGGACTTCGAACGGCTCTCAACCCCCTGCCGCTCAAGGCAAGAGCTCGAGTGATCGTGCCAGGGTACAAGGACATCTTTTCCTACAGCCTCAGGAAAGATGCCCCTACGGGGTCCCGTGTGTCTCAACACTTGCTCTTCACATTCACGGCCAGTCATAGCACTCCGACAACACCACGGGAGCAAAAATGGAGGATCATGTCCGCTGATGTGAAGTCTGCCTTTTTGAAGGGAGACGCCTATGTGGATGGCCAGCGGGAGCTCTTTCTGGAGAATGTGAAGGGTGAGGAGCCCAAGTTGCCTTTTGGGAGCTGCTTGGCAAAGATCCGCAAGGGAGTGTTTGGACTCTCAGATGCGCCCCGCCAATGGTACTTGCGCCTCAACAAGTCCTTGCAAGCAGCTGGATGGGAGAGGACGGTTTTCGACTTCGCATGCTGGCTCAAATGGTCTGATGACCGCAAGAAGCTTCGTGGCATCATCATCTCCCACGTGGATGACTTGTTGCTGGGCGGTGACTCTACCGCGCAGGAGAGCCTGTTGACCATTGGAAAGGAGCTGGGCTTCGGAAGTGTAGAATATGATGATTTTGTTTACTGCGGGAAGAGAATCCAGATGAAGCCTGATGGCGCCATATCGGTGAGCGTGAAGGCCTACCACGACAACCTCTCGCCCGTGGAGATCCCTCTGAGCAGGAGAAAGACACCCGAAGCTGAGCTCAGTGAAAGTGAGCGCCGACAACTCCGAGCCGTTTTAGGTTCCCTTCAGTGGCTCGTCGCTCAGGTCCGATTCGATCAGGGCTATAGTCTCAGCACCCTACAAGGTGAGAAGCCAGTGATTGGGACGCTGCAAAAAGCCAACCAGTTGGTGAAGGAGTTCAAAAGACGTCCCGATTTTTCCTTGGTGTTTCAAGCTTTGGATTTGTCAAAAGCGGGCATCATGGTGGTCTCTGACTCCTCCCTGGGAAACGTGCTTCGAGAAGGAGGCTGTGAAGGCGATGTGCTTGAAAAACTCTATAGCCAATCGGCTTACTTTGTGATCATTGGTGACCACAACCTCATGAACGGCCGTGAAGGGTGCTTCAATGTTGTGGATGCTCGATCACACCGGCTTCCAAGAGTATGCAGATCGACCTATGGAGCTGAGCTCATGGGAGTTGAGGAGGGCATGGACATGGGAATCTTTTGCCGGGGTGGCCTAGCAACCTTCCTTGGTCTCCCTACTGGCCGACGGGATTCTCTCAAAGTGATGGAGGAAATCCCCATGGTTTCCATCACGGATGCCAAGGACACCTACGACCGCGGTAACTCCGACTGCCCGACCTATGGTGCTCAGAAGTCCATGGCTTTTGCCGTAGCTTGGGTGAGACAGACCCTCAATGGCTACAACAGCAGCCTGAAGTGGACGGCGACTGCCAACATGTGGGTGGATGCTGGGACGAAGGCTATGCCGCTAGACCACATGCAGGAGATCCTGGCAAAAGGCAAGTGGAGCTACGTCTACCACCAGGACTATGTCAAGCAGAACCCAAAGAAGAAAACGCCAGAGAAGATCGGCATGACTGCTGAGCTGCCAGGTGAGCCGTTAGATGAGCGTTCCCAAATGTTTCAATTTGTTTTGAAGCTGAGTGGTCAACCCGGCTGGCACGAGAGGCCTGACATGGCGGTGCACGTGGCCTACGAAGCCAAATCTTTCAGGGTGCCAGATGGCCGTTTTGGGGCCAACAAGTATCCAGTGCGGTCCACCTTCGGGAAATTTGATCTGGAGGATGGCCGAAGTGTGTGGAGGCAACTTGAACACGGTGAGAATCTCACCGAATTGGCGAATCGCCAGAAGCTGTTGCCTAGGCCTGCCGGATGCTTGATTTCCTTGTTCATGTCTCAAGCAAAGAAGAGATT